ATATTACAGTGACCTTTATTGAAGACACAGTCTCCTTAAAAAAAGATAACTAGCAATATCGAAGACATGGATTTTTTCATTCAGTACCTTTAATCTGATGATGGTAACAACACTGTTACCAAAACATCACACACTATTTGGATTTGTTACCTTGTGTTATTGGACACAGGCTGTTAGTGTATCTCCCACTTATCCAGAAACCTAATGAAAGGATGTTTGCAGAGACAAGGCCCCAGGACAGAAGGAATGTGAAGACAGCCTGAGCAGGATCAACTCCGGCATCAGAGAGCTGGACAAGGCTTCCGTCAATATCATCAGCCAGAGTCTCTCTCCACAGCCTAGCGGCAACATCAAGGTGGGACATACAACATGTATAGTACACTTGGCCATCATGGTGGGACATACAACATGTATAGTACACTCGGCCATCATGGTGGGTAGTTAGTGACTGTCTTTTACTGTAAGTACATCACATATCTATTCACGATAAAATTGTGAAAAAAGTTTTAAAATTACAAAATATTTTCTCAAAATGAGTTTCTTTTTATTACAAAATGCTAGCTTTCAAGTGATTATCACTTGAAAGCTAGCATTTTGTAATAAAAAGAAACTCATTGTGAGAAAATAGTTTGTAATTTTATAACACTACATGTCTACACATGGTACAGGCCATGATAATCATGGTGGGTAGTTTAAATTTAGCCATCTGAAACCAGTACAATTTCACTTTTTTTGCTAATATTTAGTAGAGAAAGCAGTCAATAGCTACCCACCAGTATATATAATACACACCTAGCAGGTTGTGTTCAAAGAGGGTGGTCACATAGGACTGAACTTGCCGCTGTGTGCAGGGCCTGCAGGAACAGATGGAGATGTGTTCCTCAGAGATCCTAGAGAAGATCGACCATGTGAGACATGCAGCTAAGAGTGAAGCTGAGAGGTTAGGTCACTCCGTAAGTTTCCGTCAGATTTGACCATAGGAATCCTTCACTAAACCTATCCATGGATATGACCAGGTGAATCAGCTGGCCAACATGTACCAGAGTCTGGTACGCGGCGCCGTAGACACCGCCAGTAGATCTTTGCGCTCACGTCAACAACTCGCTGTCCTGGAGCAGACAAAGACTGTCGGAGAATGCTGTCTGCAGTTGCTCACTGCAGCCAAGGAGGCTGGAGGTAACCTGCGCGCGCGGCATCTCCACCCTGAGCTGGACACCTCCGCGGAGAACGCCCGCGTAGCCCTGTCAGAGCTACAGACCACGCTGGAGACCGCGGCCAGTGAGACTGGCATGGTGACTGGCCTGGTGGAAACCATCAACAAATCCATTGTCAAGGTACCACTGTACATCCATGTTCTCCAAACCTCATCATTACCCTCACACAATGTCTTTTCTACAAACATCTCTTCAACTATAGATAGAAATTTTGCCGAGAGGAAATTGATCTAAAGAGACAAAGGTCGCCTCTCCCGTCAAAATAGATGTCTAAAACCAGACGCCATCTATTAACCGTCGCCGCAAACTAGCGGCCTCGGGTCGGTAACAAAGCCACAACACCAGGGTACCATATAAAATATATGGCCCAGCCACTTTGCCAGCAAAACACCTCTTTGGTAGATTGTGAAGATTCCATTAGATCCCGTGTGGATCTCATGGAATAAAGTCCGCCCTAGACTGACGAGGGCCATTAGCCTGAAACCATAGTCTCTAGGTGAACGCTTCTCAGTTTACCAAAGCTGGTGTTGTGGCTTTGTCACTGACCCGAGACCGCTAGTTGTGGCGACGGTCAATAGGCGACTAATCACTGCTAAGCCTTGATTCTATCTACTTCCATAAGTTTTGTCAATTAACATTTCCATTAGGTAATAAGACCAAATAAATAGTGTGTGACAGCGTAGTTACCATCTTCAGACAAAAGTACTGAATGAGAAATTTTACCACAGCTTGGTTTAAATAGTTACTGTTATCAGGGTAAAACATGCTGCGGGAAAATTTCTGATTCAGTACTTTTGTCTGAAGATGGTAACTACGCTGTCACACACTATTTATTTATTTGGTGTCTTATTACCTTGTGTTTATAATAAATTACATTTATATATATGTTAGCCATGGATTGATAAAATTTGTAACAATTCTAATTATATATTTCAAACATTGTTGTCCAGGTGGAGGAGTACCACTATGTATCCTCCAGCTCTGTCACCATGGGAGAGTCCTTTGTGGAGTACCAGACTCGCATGGTGTCTTCCTGTAAGGATATCGCCAAGTTGGCTCAGGACATGGTGAGTGTACATAACACTGTGTGTACCTCATTGTCTTGTTATTACAGCTTTCTAACAACAACAAACAATATATTGTAGGAACATAGCAAATCTTTCCTTTTTAAATACAGTAGACTCAAGGTAATAACACCAAATCCAAATAAATAAATAGTGTGTGACGTTTCAGCGTTGTTACCATCTTCAGACAAAAGTACTGAATCTAAATTGTGCCTTATCATTTATTTAAGCCATATAATCTTGGCAAGCTTTCAGACAAATGATGTCCTTCAACAGGCTGCAAAAACAAGAAACTAGAGATATAAGAGTAAATATATATATATGCATCTTATATTTGGGGGAGAGGGAGAATAAAAAAAGTAATATTATTTATTAAGTAAATATTTAGATTGTCAAATGAAAATTTTACTTACTAAAAAAAAAAGAAGAATGAAAAATCAATTATTAGCAAATATGCTTATTTTAAACAAATTTAACTATATAATATTTTTGGCAAATGAGTTCATTAGAAAAACACATTTAAACAACCCAAAAGAAAAAAACAAATCTATATATACAACAGAACAAAATAGTAATTAAAAAAAAACGCAGAAATCTCATTTTTTATTCTTGTGCTTTAAGCCAGGCAGTACTTTTATCAAACTATGTTTTTTATATATTCCCTTATTTCAATTAAAGCTATTTTTGATAATTTTATTATAATCTTTACCATGACTGTATACCAAAATCAAGGGACAGCTAATCATTTTATATAAATAATAATCAAAAATCAACAGAAATCTTATTTTTTATATTATATGCATATATACCATCTCTATTTTCTTGTATTTCCAGCCTGATGAAGGACATCATAGTCTGAAAGCTTGGCAAGTTTATATGGCTTAAATAAAGACTCACGTTGCCATTAGATTTTATTCCATCATAAAAACATATAATTTTGGTGGACTTCATGTGGGATTGTAGTTTTTTACAAGTTTCTATTATAGGGTGAAGTTTAATGTTGAAAGTTACAATTTATAAGAAAATTATATATTTAGATATCTTTAAAATAAAAGATGGTAAATTTCATGCTACTATAATTATTTTATTTATATATATTTCACAATTCTTGCATACATTATAAACAAGGTCTTTATAAATTATGATATACAGTTAAACCTGTCTATAGCGCCCCCTCTTGGGACTCACCAAAATAGGGTGCTATAGAGAGGGGGTGCTATAGACAGGTCACTTTTATTGTAAATCACATCATACTACGTATTTAAAATCGGGCGCTATAGAGAGGGGATGCTATAGACAGATTTAACTGTATATTATGTTGCGTTAGTGTGCCATCTGTTATGAAAATTTGAAACTATTATAGACGCGCATGATCCTTTTGAAAATTAAACAATTTCTACTGTCTTTACTGTAATGGAAAAATTAATGGGAGGTCCTGGCTCATCAGTGATGAACCCATTGCAGTAAGAGGTAGAAATTGTTTAATTTTCAAAATATATCACTGATATCTTTAAACAAAACAGTGTAGACATGGTAGCACATGGACAAGTGGGGTGCGTAGATCAGCAAGTCCGGGCAGGAACATCCCCAGCTGAGTCCACTAGCCGCCAGACTCTCCCATCTGTACTCCGGACTGGCTGGTGACACACGCGGAGCAGTGGCTGCAGCTCCATCTCCAGAATTGGGCACCAGGGTGCGAAGCTTGGTGCAGGACCTGGGCACGGCCTGTATCCGTCTTACCAAGGCCGCTGGAGGCTGCCAGGGGGAGCCTGGAGACCCCTTCTGGCAGAGAGAGGTGGTGGAACATGGCCGCTCTGTGGCTGAGGGAGCTTCCTACGTCATGGCTGCGCTACAGAGCGGAGCACGTGGTACCCAGGCCTGTATCTCCGCAGCTGCCACCCTCGCTGGCATCATCGGAGACCTGGAGACCACCGCCATGTTTGCCTCCTCCGGCACTCTCACCTGTGAGAATGAGGGAGATGTCTTCGAACACCACAGGTAGGTAGCTAGCTGGGAGAACACAGTTTATTCACTTATAATATTTTAGAAAGATAATTTTATTGAGTCATCCATTGATGAGCTCTACTCTTCCCCGGCAGACACCATCAACAAGCTTGATATGATTGAGTGGAGATAATAAAGACAAGGTAATAAGACAAAATCCAAATTAATTAAATAGTGTGTGACCTTTATAATTCAGTTTTTTTTTTTGCCTGAGGTTAACAACGCTGTTATGGAAACATTACACACTATTTATTTGGGAATATTTGATCTTTCTACCTTGTAGTTTTAATCTATAAGCCAAAATGTACCTTATCATAAAAGTATAATTGTAACATATAAAGTTCTATAAAGACAATATCTAGAAGCAGAACCATACTGTTCTTCGGGGAAAGGTGTCACCTGAGAGTTGATATTCAGTAAAAAATGGTAATTTTGGTGATAAAAACTGACTTCCTTTGTAGAGAGGTACCTTCTAGCGGGAGTGTCCTCGTACTGAAGGTTCTGCAGGACAATCCATATTGTCCCAATATGCTCTGGTTCACTCCATCAGATTAGGTCTAGAATCCCAAAATGTAACTTGGCACCTGCAGCTCCAGAACACGGCTTGTATTAGATATATTGAACTGGACCTTTAGGAGAAGCCACTGCTTATCATAAAAAAGCTGGAGGAGCCTGGACTAATCCTTGCACAAGGGAAACAATGAGTTGCCTGTTGTTACAGAGAGCTGATGCTGAGGACAGCCAAGGCACTGGTGGAGGACACCAAGGCTCTAGTGAGTGGTGCAGCAGGATCACAAGAACAACTCGCCATGGCGGCACAGAACGCCACACAGACCATCCTGCAGTTAGCTGAGGTGGTGAAGTTGGGAGCAGCCTCGCTGGGCTCCACCAATCCTGAAGCCCAGGTGAGACCTCACCGCCGCCCAGTTCCGCCATGTTGGCTGACAATCAGGCTGTTACAGGTGATGCTGCTCAACTCAGTGAAGGATGTCGCCATCTCCCTGCGAGAACTGGTGGAGTCAACCAAGATGGCTGCTGGCAAGCCACTCAGTGACCCCGCCATGGTACATCTGAAGGAATCAGCCAAGGTACAATGTGACAGGTGACATGTGTGTTCAGTGTGTGACCACCATGTATGTAAGCAGGTGATGGTGACCAACATCACCTCTCTCCTCAAGACAATCAAGGCCGTGGAGGATGAACATTCACGCGGTACTAGAGCCCTGGAGTCCACCATTGAGGCCATTGGACAGGAGATCCGGGTAAGTTGGGACTGAAGGATTGACAGCAGATATACACTCATTGTATATCGGGATTCAGACAATAACTCTGAAAGATACACTCATGGACAAAACTTAAGGAAGTTTTACTTTTTAGCATGTATATCGGGATTCAGACAATAACTCTGAAAGATACACTCATGGACAAAACTTAAGGAAGTTGTACCTTTTAGCATGTATATCGGGATTCAGACAATAACTCTGAAAGATATTACAGTGACCTTTATTGAAGACACATGAGATAACCAAGTGTGAACAACCTTCAAAAAGACACATCAACATCGAAGTTTTTTTCATCAGTGTAGTTGTATTATACACGGTAGAACAACCTCCATGAGAGGACATTCCCACTAGAGAACACCTCTTAAAAAGGACAGTTTTCATTTGTAAAATTATCATTTTAACTATTTAACAACTCTCCAGTAAGAGGACAACTCTCCCTAAAAGACACTTTGGTTCTACAATTAGGTGTTGTCCTTTACAGTGAGGTAGTTCTACTGTATATTTGAAAGTACATTTTTAATATATATAATCAAAAAAAGTTGAATATCTAAAATATATATTCTCCGTCATAGTACAGTTAAACCTGTCTATAGCGCCCCCTATAAATAACGCCTTCTTCTCTATATCGCCCGATTTCAAACATTAAAATGTAAACATTTTACATTAAAAGTGACCTGTCTATAGCACCCTATTTTGGTGAGTCCCAGGAGGGGGCGCTATAGACAGGTTTAACTGATTAAATATAGCAGATAAGAACTAAAGATTCCAACACAACATATTGAACAATATCTTACAAACCAAACACTACAGTTCAGTTATTCCAGTAACTCACAGTGAGACATTGTGTAAGTAGCTCTGTGTGCTCCAGGCCTTTGACTCCTCAGAACAGCCGAGGAGAGGCTGCACTGCTGAGGACCTTGTGAGGGTGACAAAGCCGGTGACGTTGGCCACAGCGAAGGCCGTCGCTGCTGGTACCAGCGGGAAACAGGACGATATCATAGTGGCCGCCAACATGGGCCGTAAAGCCATCACAGATCTCCTCACCACAGCCAAGGTACGCTGGATTATCTTTGTCATTATTGGCAGAGCTGACTGCTACAGGATAGGGGAACAACCTTCAGATATGAAGGCCAGCTGTGAAACAAGCAGAATTACTCTGATAAATAACTCTGCCACTGAGTAGTGCTCCCAGTCTTAATGACAAAGGCACACACATTCTACTTCACCCAGCAAAGTCTCAAGCTTTACAAGCTTGATACCCTAATATGATTGAGTGGAGATAAGAAAGAAGAAGAAGAAGTAGTCGCGGACCAACAGCAGCATTGTTAGAAGAGGAGTAGACCTCTTTAAATATCCTGAGTTCAAGTGTTGATAGACCTCAGCAAGGGTTCTTCTCCAGGGATACGGAGGAGCTGTGTCTGTACTCATGTAAAGTTGGCAGCAAAGACTTCCATGTTAGGAACGGCCTCAAATTACAAAGTCAGTACTTTCACCAAAGTGTGCCTGGATCATGGTACCATGATCAACGAAAGCTGCACCCATACCCCAATTTGATCTGTTAGTGACCATCACTTTCATCTAGTGTCCATCCAGTAGCTTTCTTCGCCTCTTCTAGCAATTCATTGGAAGTTTTACAGCGAAGGTATCAAGACCAATCTATGTGTCCAGAGTGCGGCCTTCTCAGCGGAGAGCATGGAGACCCGGCACAGAGTTCTCTCCACCAGCAGGGAGTGTTCTCTCCATTACAGAGAGCTGCTCCAGATGGTGCTGAGAACCAAACCTGGCACTGGGCGGCAGGAACTGGTGCTCATGTCTCGTACCATCGCCACAGCTGTCACAGAGATTGTCACCTCAGCAGAGTATCTTAAAGGTAATTTACTTCCACTCTGGCTGCCATGACAGCGTGACACACCTAGTCACTTAGAGTAGAACTACCTACTGTAAAGGACAACACCTAGTTACAGAGCCAAAGTGTTCTTTAGGGAGAGATGTCCTCTTACCAGAGAGTTGCTACAGTAGAACTACCTCTCTGTAAAGGACAACACCTAGTTACAGAGCCAAAGTGTCCTTTAGGGAGAGATGTCCTCTTACCAGAGAGTTGCTACAGTAGAACTACCTCTCTGTAAAGGACAACACCTAGTTACAGAACCAAAGTGTCCTTTAGGGAGAGATGTCCTCTTACCAGAGAGTTGCTACAGTAGAACTACCTCTCTGTAAAGGACAACACCTAGTTACAGAGCCAAAGTGTCCTTTAGGGAGAGATGTCCTCTTACCAGAGAGTTGCTACAGTAGAACAACATCTCTGTAAAGGACAACACCTAGTTACAGAGCCAAAGTGTCCTTTAGGGAGAGATGTCCTCTTACCAGAGAGTTGCTACAGTAGAACTACCTCTCTGTAAAGGACAACACCTAGTTACAGAGCCAAAGTGTCCTTTAGGGAGAGATGTCCTCTTACCAGAGAGTTGCTACAGTAGAACTACCTCTCTGTAAAGGCAACACCTAGTTACAGAGCCAAAGTGTCCTTTAGAGAGAGATGTCCTCATAGTGGAGATGGACTAATTAGTAAAAATGGTAATTTTGCAAATGAAAACTGTCCTTTGTAAAGAAGTGTCCTCTAGCATGAGTGTCCTCTCATTGTTGTTGTTGTTGTTGTTTCTTATCCCCTTGTGTAAAGATTACACGAATTCCATGAGTTCATGCTCCTCGAGCGTCCTCTCATTGTGTTTCTACTGTATTTTCTAAAAATATGATCAAAACATATTGTGCATATGACTAGCCATGGTGAAAGATATACTTGTTCCAGCCATCATACCAGTACCTGGAAGTTATGAACATCTAGCTTTCTTTCTTAAGACCTTTTAAGAGTTTCAGGAAGTGTTTGATCCAATGCAGTCAAAGGTGTGTTGCAATAAGGCTGGATTTGTGAGGCATTTGACAAGAGTGATTTTTCTCATCACCCAAACTGATATCAGGAGAAGCAATGGAATCTTTAAGTACACCAAGTGACATACACAGAAAAACAAGAACTATATAAAATATTAAATCACCCAACATACAGTTAAGCCTGTCTATAGCGCCCCCTCTAAATAGCACCTCCCTCTCTATAGCGCCCGATTTTAAATACGTAGTACGATGCAATTTACATTAAAAGTGACCTGTCTATAGCACCTCCCTCTCTATAGCACCCTATTTTGGTAAGTCCCAAGAGCTATAGACAGGTTTAACTTCATATCAATAGATGTTCTTAACCCTCATCACTTAATGATGACTTCAACAGGAATTGCCCATGATGTGTTGAATATTAAAGAAGTTGTACCAATGTATTCCCCTCACATCTGAAGTGTGCTGTGCAGGAAGTGACTGGGTGGACCCAGACGACCCCACAGTCATCGCTGAGACAGAACTGCTGGGAGCTGCCAACTCCATCGATGCTGCAGCCAGGAAGTTGGCCAACTTGAAACCTCGCCGGCCATCTGTCAAGGTGGGTTGGTTTATCCCTTTGTCTCTACAGGCTGTCAGTCAAGGTAAGTAGGAGGGGCTCCAGGCTGTCAGTCAAGGTAAGTGGGAGGGGCTCCAGGCTGTCAGTCAAGGTAAATAGGAGAGGCTCCAGGCTGTCAGTCAAGGTAAGTGGGAGGGGCTCCAGGCTGTCAGTCAAGGTAAATAGGAGAGGCTCCAGGCTGTCAGTCAAGGTAAGTGGGAGGGGCTCCAGGCTGTCAGTCAAGGTAAATAGGAGAGGCTCCAGGCTGTCAGTCAAGGTAAGTAGGAGGGGCTCCAGGCTGTCAGTCAAGGTAAGTGGGAGGGGCTCCAGGCTGTCAGCTGACCATCGAGCCAATACTCTCCCCTGTCTGATATGTTTGATATTCTTGGTTGTGAATATACTTCAACCAAGAATCAGACATATACCGACAGTGGCGAGATTTTCTCCATGTTTTCCCAGGTAGGTCTCCAGGTAAGTTGCATGCTCTATAGCTTGGATTCAAATTCCACACAGTGCCACATTTTGTCTAATGGAGAAGCTTCTTGCATGAACAGCTCAGGGAATAATCCCTGATCATATATCGCTGAAAAAAAGAAGACCATTCATATATATACATATATTAAAAACAAAAAGGGCATTTCCTGACAACTAACATGAACTTTTAGAAGGCAGAACACCATCTAGTGGAACAGAAATCAACTAAACGTTGATTTAACCTGTTCCCTGATATTTGGCAGAAAATCCAACCACATTTATCAAGAAAATAGGTTGGCCAAATATCAGAGAACAGGTTAAATCAATGATAAGGCACAATTTGAATTATAGATTATAAACACATAGATTATTATTACCTTGTGTTTAGGTTAAATCAATGTTTAGTTGATTTCTGTTCCACTAGATGGTGCTCTGCCATCAAAAAAAAACCCCTCAGTTAGTAGTAAATATGCCTCTAATTTGTTTTTAATATAAATACCTGATCTTTTTTTTATTATTTCTTGAACCTATTTCCGAAATATTTTTTTCTTAAAACAGAGAGAACAAATGAGCATGTAGAATCGCTACAATAATGAGACACTGTGTGTTGGTGAAGGAGGCAGATGAAGCTCTCAACTTCGACGAGATGATTCTGGAGGCGGCCAAGTCTATCACAGCCGCTACCTCCGCGCTGGTCAAAGCTGCTTCCTGCGCTCAGCGGGAGTTGGTAGCATCGGGCAGATTGGCGCCCACGCCAACTGACGGCAGCCATTGGAGCGACGGCCAGTGGAGTGAAGGACTGATTAGCGCAGCGCGGTTGGTGGCTGCGGCCACACACAGTCTGGTGGAGGCTGCCAACGCCCTGGTCCAGGGACATGCATCAGAGGAGAAACTCATCTCCTCGGCCAAGCAAGTTGCAGCTTCCACGGCCCAGCTGCTGGTGGCGTGTCAAGTCAAGGCCGACCCACGCTCCCAGGCCATGAAAAGGCTCCAGGTCAGTGTACCTTCTGTTCATGTCGTATTCTTCCATGTGAAAAATAGAACTAAAGTGATAAAATTATACTGGGATCAGGTGGATATATTATGGTTAAAAAAAAAGGCATCTTCTGATCTTCCAACTAAAGGTTGCTGATGGTTTGCCCTATGTCTTTTTTATCAACCAACATTCTACAATTTTTATTTAAAAAGTATATTTTTCATTCTTGTTCCAAAATCATTAGGTACAGTTCAAAAAGAACAACCTAGTTTATGATATTTACAACAATGAATAATATATGAAGGTTATTCACATATTAAAACAAAATGTTAACGTGGGATTCGATCCTGGTTCATGACTGTCGGGAATCGAGGGTGTTACCTACTTGTCCACCGACTCTTTATATATTTTTCATGATATCCCTTGTGGATCAAATGAAATCTTTAAAATCCACCAAAGAGGTGTTTAGCTGGTAAAGTGGTAAGGCCAAATCTATGGCCACAATATAGATCCATTATCAGTTTACCAAAGCTGGTTTTGTGTGTTTGTCACTGACCTGAAGCTGCTAGTTTGTGTTGATGATCAATAGATGGTATCAAGTTTTGACATCTATTTTGACAGGAGAGGTTACGTCTAATCACTCTTCATCATTAGATCCATTGAATAATACTTAAGTCTAGTCATCTACAGACAATGACAGAATGGTTGCAAGGTACAATGTACTAAGTGTCAACCTGTAACCCTAAAACACATTATTGACTGTATTGACTTATCCATTGATGAGCTCTACTCTTCCCCGGCAGACACCATCAACAAGCTTTACAAGCTTGATACCTTAATATGATTTTGAGTGGAGATAAGAAAGAAGAAGATCCATTAACTAACTTTCACAGGCTTCCATATGATTCGCAGTAACAAGGACACTAATCCACAAATGTGTCTGTCCAGGCCGCGGGTAACGCAGTCAAGAAGGCCACAGACAATCTTGTCCGAGCCGCGCAACAAGCCATTGAACAAGATGAGGAACGTTCCCTTGTCATTAACAAGCGCATGGTGGGCGGCATCGCTCAGGAGATCATTGCACGAGAGGAGATCCTGCGCAAGGAACGTGAGCTGGAGGAGGCCAGGGAGAAACTGTTAGCCTTGCGGAGAGCCAAGTACGGCAACGAGTACCAGGGCTACGGATCTTGCTAACACCGCGTGTTGCTGTTTGATGACACATATCACCCCGCTGTTTTGTACATTACTAATGAGAGAACCAAATAATAAATATAGTTGTGTCACACCTTGTCTTTCTTCACACTGCTCTTAGTGCACATCTGTGTTTGTTTTTTTATTATCCCTTGTACACATGGTCCCCCTTGTCAGAGCTGACTGCTACAGGGCACTACCCCAGGTGGCAGATAGGGGAACTACCTTCAGATATGAAGGCCAGCTGTGAAACAAGCAGAATAACTCTGACCAAATAAGCAGTCGCGGACCAACAGCAGCATTGTTAGAAGACCAGTAGACCTCTCTAAAAATCCTGACACTTCAACTGTTGATAGACCTCAACAAGGATCCCAATCCAGGGATATGGAGGAGCTGTGTCTGTACTCATGTTAGAGTCGGCAGCAAAGGCTTCCATGTTAGGAACGGCCTCAAACTACAGTCAGACTTTCACCAAAGAGTGCCTGGATCATTTTTTTCCAATGATCAACGAAAATATCAATTAAGAAGGATCAGAAGATTCTGATCCTTCTTAATTGATATACCTTACTAGAAGAGTCTTTACCTTTAATCAACGAAAATTGCACCCCTACACCCCAACAATAAAATCTACACTGACTGTGAACGATGCGTTGTTGTAGATCGGTTTCTGCTGAAACAATGCCAGAAATGTCTGAAATTCAATCCCACCCACAAAACGGCAGAATGCCCTAACACCCCAATATGCAGGACATGTGGAGTTCAGGGAGTTCATGATTGCTCTGGAATTCCCAAATGTTTCAATTGTTCCCAACATCCTAAGTATAGAAACAGGCCCTCATCACACAGAGCAAACTCAGAGGAATGTCCTATGTATAAGGCACAAATAGACAGAATAATCGAAAGAACAAGTTATTTCCCAACTGAACAATCAAGTAACTAACTAGTACAAGTCAAACAGGATAAAATGCAAGTTCCGTTGATTAAGTGTGTGCAACATAATCTAAAAAAAGCATAAACGCAACAAATGAATCCTGGCTCGGATAGCTAACGACCCACCAGACATATTATTTATTCAGGAGGCTTATACAGTAAACAATGTTATCATTTTTGGCGGAGACGAGCATTCAATTTTAACAGCTAAAGGAAACAAGATAAATTCGGCATCAATAATTCTAAATAAACGAATCTAAATGAATAGATACTCCATCACATCTGTAAAATGAGGAAACGGGATGAAGGAGGGAGAAAGAAACCAATGAAGGCAACTAAACAAGGAATTAAATGTATTCAACAAAATATAAAGAAAAGTGTCATAGCATTAGATGAACTTCGAGCCTCTGTTCTGTCCAACCCCCTCCTGACTTATTATTTATTCAAGAGCCTTATATGTTAGGGAATGATGTGATATTCAATAATGACTCACAAATTGTTTACTCTAAAACCGATAAAACAATCTACACAGCAACGATTATTCTTAACAGTAGCATTAAATATAAGACAATTGATAGATTCACTAATTCTTTTTGTACAACTATTTCTATACATTCAGAGGATTCAAATATTGTTATTTCAAACTTCTACATTCACCCTAACAATCTCAGTAATACTCACCAAATATTTATCAAAGAACTTTTGGAGACATTCGAGCTACAGCCAATAATCCTCTGTGGTGATTTTAACTCTCGACATCCTGTATGGTACGAACGAATAATCAATTCCAATGGAGACAAATTCCACTCTATTGTGGATGAATACAACTTGTTTATCCATAACCTTAAAATGCCTACATGTTGAAATGCCAGTTTAATAGATTTAACAATATCAAACAAAAATTCTATAAAGCTTATACAGAATTGGAGCACATCAACTTTTACAAATATTTCCGATCATGTAGCAATAACCTTCGACATTCGATATAATTTTAAAGTACAGAGAATTGGACAAAGGTCAACATGGAAATTCATTGAAAAAGATGCCAACTGGGAAAAATTTACTGAAGAGATATTATTTCAAAATGTACATAACTTGTCGAATGAAATAAATCAGGCATCTAATACTACGGATGTTGACAGGATCGTGATGAAACTTACGGACATAATTAGTGAGGCAGCTTACTCGTCTCTGGAAATCAAATCAAACTCTTTCAAGCATATATCTAATATAAAGTGGTGGAATGGGAATCTTGAAAAAATGAAAAATGATTTTCATTATACAGTAAAACCCCTCTATAGTGAACCCCAATGGGACAGAGCTTTTGGTTCACTATAGCCACGGTTTGGCTATTTTTTTTTACTTTTCAAAATTTTTAGACCGTATAATTAAAGGACAGTCATACACACAAGAAGAGGCTTCCTCTTAATAGTGGTCACTTTGTTTTAATTCCCTTAATTGACCAATTTCCTTACATTAATACTGAATAATAATAGAAATCATTAGATGATAGGTTCTTCTTATCATTAAGATACATGTACTTCTATGTCTAATTTAAAAATCAAGACAAATCCTAGGCAAAGTTTTATTAAATATATATTCAAAGATATAAAATGATTTTAAAACATCATTATCACATTATATAATACATTGTTTACTTGGAAAAATGGATCTAACACCTTGTTGCTTCAAAGCATTCTTCAAGCATTGCACCATTCAAATAAAGTTAGTGTTTTTCTTTCATTTCATTTTCCCACATATTCTTCTAGGTCTAGATTTCGTTTTTTTTTTTTAACCTGTCATGCAAAACATTGCTGACTTTAAAATCACCATAGCTAATGGCATAAAAATAGTTTTTGTTTCATCCCCTGACAATTTATTTGGATTTTTTTTTTTTAGCCCTAAAACGTACGATCGCGATCACGGCAAAATTTGAGGTTGATTCCTCATTGTAACAATTTTTAATAGTTTTATATTTTATCTTTTATAATAGAAATGGTATATTTTCTTATTTTAATATGTTCTTAACATTTTGCCTGTGTTGTTTCCCTTTGAAAAGTTCTGAAAATGGCCTTTTTTTTTTTTAAGAAATAACGCTTTTGTTTTTAAAATGCCTTTGTTTTCTTCATTTTGGAAGCCATTTGTATTTTTATATTTCAAAATTAATGGATGCAAATATATTCTATTTAATAAAAAGTATAATGTGTTAAAATTTATACAACATACAGCAAAAATAAAGTGCAAAATTCAAAACAAGCAATGCCGCTAAATTTATTGTTTTGAAATCGCGATTTTTTTTTTAAATTACAATTCTAAGTTCGTTATAAGCATAGTATTTTAAATAGATTTTATTATTTTGGGACCGAAAATAGGTTCATTATAGGGGTAGTTCGTTATTCTAAAAATCGCAAAGTTCGTTATAACGATGGTATTTTCAATGAAATGGAATTGGGAATCGGCGTGGGTTCGTTATAAGGGAAGGTTCGTTATATCCAGGGTTCGTATTAGCGGGGTTTTACTGTATTAGAAACCTATACTATCGGCATAGAGTCATCAATAAAATAACCTTTAAATTTGCAAGAAACAAGTACATTAACGCTATCAAAAGAGCTAAGAAAAAAAAGTTGGAGAATATTCATTGAAGAAAATGAATCAAACAACCCATTTAGAAACGCCTATGAAATTTTTAAATCTCTGAGATCATCCAACAACAATAGAGGACTTCCAATGATCGATAATTTACCGGATACTTTAAAGAAAGAAAAAATGAAAAGTCTCTTGAATGATTTATTTCCAGATGATGATGTACATTCAGATAAAGAGGAACATGTTATTATTAGAAACTATAAACCTGAATACAAAAACAAAAATAACATTTTCATAGAAATAAAAGATGTTGAAAATATTATTACAAAATTAAATATCAAGAAAGCACCAGGTCCAGATTTTATCAGTAATAATATGATCGAACATACAGGTACACTTTTAATCCCGATTTTATCACAATTATTCAACAAATGTATTGAATTAGGTTACTATCCGGATATATGGAAAGATTCTACTGTAAATAAAATTCCAAAATCTGATAAAAAAAACTATGAAACAAGCAAAAGCTATAGACCAATATCATTGACGTTAAACATTTCTAAAATATTTGAAAACATAATTAAAAACGAAATCAACAAATATTATGAAGAGAACAATCTAATGAGTCCAAGGCAACATGGATTTACTAAACATATATCAACGAACAGTGCAATAGAAGATATAATGGAAACCATATTGAAACACATGCAAGGAGAACTGACTTCTTTGATTACAGTGGATATAGCAGGCGCTTTCGACAACGCATGGTGGCCAGCAATTATTAGAAGACTCGATTTAGATAACACTCCCTCCAAACTAATAAGAATTATACAATCTTATTTAAGCAGTGAAAGTAGGGCAAATTTCTCATATGAAGATACAAATGTTACAAAAAATCTGACAAAAGGATGCCCTCAAGGTGGTCCTTTATCCCCAATATTATGGAATATTTTGTTAAATGACTTGCTAAGAGTTTCAAACATCCGAACGCAGAAATAATTTGTTACGCAGACGACGTTTCCATCATTTGCTGGAGCAAGTCTGTCGAGGATCTCAAAATATTAAGCAAAAATATTCTATGCTACATGATTCAATGGTGTAATAGGAATAAATTATCAAAAGGCCCAGAGAAAACGAATTTACTTTACTTACATAATAAACCTAAAGTTCCAATTGAAATATCGAATATTAGGCATAAAATTCTCAAATCATAGAATAAAAAAGAAAATTAATTTTACCCCACATATCAACGACATTCTGTGTAGGATCGTAAGAATGAAAAATTTTCTGTTTTCACTTTGTGGAAAGATGTGGGGAATAAATACTAAAAAAAGAATAATTTTGTATAAAACAATTATCAGGCCAGTTCTTACATATGGTTCAGAAATATGGTACAAATTTATAAATAAGCGATGCAAAGAAAGACTAAATTCTACTCAATATCAAATTCTTCTTTGGGCGATCAGAGCCTACAAAACTACATCTTCCAACTGTGTCCATAGTCTTGCGAACATTCCCCTTATCACAGATTATATTGAATCTGAAATAATTAAATATGATTTGGCTCATCTTTCGATGGAGGATCAAATTGCTTTTAGACCACTTTCTCCAAGTATAATTGGCTCCTTTTTAAGTGCAAAAATTGATGAATTATTTCGAAAAACAAATGAAACATTCCAAAGCTTTTTCCCATTTGGAATTCCAACATTTTTCCGTTCGAATTTTTACAATGCCTAGTTTACAACGAACCATGGAAATTTTAAGGGATTTTTATCAAAAATTGGAGCGGTTGAAGACTCTAGCTGTCATTGTGGCAACGAATTCCAGGACTCGAGAAACCTACTGCTGGAATGTCCACTCTTCTTCACCTCTAGACAACAGACAATGTTGTAGATCTATATCAATTTGTAAATAGCAGAAAGAAATATCACAGATTTAACTGTTTTTGTAAATATATTTATGATTTTCTTTCAACCTGAAAGGTTCAGGTTTCTAAAATATTTTATTGTTTATCTCTTTTTATTTTTTATTACTTTTCTTGTATAAAATGTTTATAACTGTTTGTGTGTTTTTTTTTTTTTTTTTTGAAATGTAAGTCAACGCAATTATCCCTGGCCGGGATATCGCGTTTTTTGTGTTGAAATAAAAAAATATTTTAAAAAACTTGATATTAAAAAATTATATTCTAAAAAAAAAAATATGTAAATAAAATAAAGTAATAAGAAATGAAAGTATTGAAACACAAATATTTCTTTTACACAAATAAACCAAACTTCTACTGTCCTTACTGCGATGAAAAAATATATTGGGAGGGCTTGGCTCATCAGTGGTGAACCCTCCCAGCAGTTTCATCAATTTAATCTATCAGACCGCTTCTTTAGAGCTCTAATACTGTATTGGATCATTCTGTTTATATATGTTACACTGAAGGATGGAATCTTAGAAATGGTATTTAAGTAAACTATGGACATTTATGTGTAAAAGAAATAGTTGTGCTTTACTGCTTTCATTTCTCATGTTTAGATGGAGTATTATATATTGCCTTATAAAAAATGTATTTAATATTTTTAAATATGTATCAAACAAGGCACCTCTCCCTTTAAATGTGCATCAAAACAAAGCACTATGCTTTACTCTAATAAAAAACTTTACTAATAATAATAAAAAATTAGCTATAACATCAGTTTGGCTTTTTGTTTGTATTTGCCAAAACTGGTATTTTACCTCATTTTATATTATTGTAGGTTTTTTTTATTTAGGGCCTACTCTCTATTCATCAACTTATCAAAAATTGCAGGTGAGAAAAGCAAAACAAACTTTCTTACAGGCCTGCCAGCGAGATGTCTTTCTAATTCCTCTCTCCCGCCAATAATGCAAATATATACATATGATAAGGTACAATTTGGATTACAGTAATCCCTCGTTAAGACGAACTCAACGGGAGAACGAAATACCCTTTTCGTCTTAAAAGAATATATACTGAATTTGTATAAACCGAATTCGTATTAGACGAATTGAATTCGTGGTATCCGGGGGTTGTACTTATGTACTACTGATGAGTAAGAAAACTACATTTCTGAGGAATAACGAATAAATTTATTTGAAAACAATATTAAGGAAAATATTTTATAATTTTAAGGAACAACAATTATGTATATGTATGTACATAAAGTATTTTATTTTAAAAGACAATATGGATAATATAATCACAATGTAAGGCAATAACATATAATATTCTGTGAAATTCCGTGAAAGCGTGCGCTCCTTGGCTGCTGGCTGGCAGGGGTCACCATGGCCCCTACATTTATCAATCGAGAAAAACAGCACTACTGGCACAATAGAGTTGAAATTTTCCACTGATTGAGTACATGGAACGACCCCAAGGGAATGGTTTCATAGAAAATGAGTCATCATAACAAACAAAGGACGAATGTTTACACAAAAGACAAAGAGAGCCAATACTTGATATCAACGGCGTTTTTGTTGTTTTAATAGTTTATTGTTTTACTTATAACTCTCCTTTAAAAACATATTAGAATTCGTTTTAACCGATTGATTAGTTC